TCTCTCTCTCTCTCTCTCTCTCTCCCCCCCTCTCTCTCTCTCTCTGTGTGTGTGTGTGTGTGTGTGTGTGTATTGGGGCAGGGCACAAAGACAGCAGGTTCAGAGGCTGTAGGGAACCACCAGATTCTATATATACCGGGTGTCTTCACCTTAGAGCAACTCAGAACTTTAAGCTGTTAGCAATGCTCATGGATTCCCCTCAAGGCACGGGAGACAGCACTGTCCAGTGCTTAGCTCCAAGAAAATCTTTTGGGAAACAGTAGGTCAGGGAATCTTATATTGTAACTATAGGCCATTAAAAAAAAAAGTAAAAACTTTACTCAGAGTAAGATGATAAAAAATTGAATTATACATATGAAAAAGTCAACAGATAGAAACAACTTAAAATGTTAGCATTTACTCACTACCTTACATATATCATCTATTCTTCAAATAAGCTTGTAATATCAACCTTCTTCCATGACTATTTTTAACACTACTCGAGGGGAAAAAATTAAAATTCCATAGTTTCCATAGTAATGGATTGAGGTGTGTGAAGCGGGCTCTGCCTATGAAGCCACAAGAATGGAAGTGAGTTGTTGTTTGCGCACTCTATGAGGCCACCAACGTCCTTCTCCTTAGGTGAAACTCTATTTCCATCCTTTCAGGACCTGACTTAAAGCTCTGTGCTCTGGAGGGGTCAAAGCCAGTAAGTTAGATCATTCTGGTGTTAGCTCTACCTCCAGGGACAGGAACTTACCTTCCCAGTATTTCCAGTAATTCTGCTATGCCATTGTGGTGCTCTGTCTCATAAATAAACCTGGAACACACAGTATGCCATCAGCATTGGACCCTGAGTAAAAGCTGCAGACATCACAGCAATCTCAACAAGGAAACAAAGGCTGCAGGAGAAGCCGAGGAGCCTGCAGCTCTGTGCTGCACCGACACCTTTCGGGGATATGCTCAGGTGTCTGCAGAGCCCGCAGAGCCCCGAAAGCCTGCGATGGAGATAGCTCAAGTGGCTGCCAACATTTTATCCTGAAAAATTCAAGTATCCAGGAAAGTGAAGAAATTTCACAGCCAACACCTGTGTTTAAGCAGCAGGTTCAGCCAATGGTGGTTTGCACTGTAGTTTGCCTGTGTTCATGTCTATTGAGCCTTCCAGCCTGTCCTGCTAATTCACCTGCAGCTTCTCAATATAAGGTGGCATCTTACTCAGTTTTAAAGCCTCCAACAGCTGGGCGGTGGTGGCGCACGCCTTTAATGCCAGCCCTTGGGAGGCAGAGGCAGGCGGATCTCTGAGAGTTGGATGGAGGCCAGCCTGGTGCACAGAGTTCCAGGACAGCCTCCAAAACAATAAAGAGAAACCCTGTCTCGAAAAACCAAAACAAACAAACAAACAAATAATAAAGCCTCCAATCTCTAGCGCACTCCCTGCTGTGGCCAGAGCGCCTGCCTCTGTGAACACCCATGTGGCCTCCTCCCTCTGAACACCGCCCCTGCTTCTCAACACCAGCGGCAAGTGCAGCCCACTCCTCTTCCTCTGAGCACTCTCTGACACAGGCCCCTAGGGAGCTCTGGGAATGACTCTCTGTGCCTGCTTGTCTCCCTCCAGACGGAGACAAGGACTTCCTGTGGACGTGTTCCTGGTGCTAGGACCAAGCCTGTCATCTGTGCCCTGCTTAAACATGTCTGGTGAGTGAACTGGGGACAAGAACAGGGGACAGGGGAATGTCCACCCCAGAGGCGTCCCATGGAAACTGAACCCCAGCCACTTGGCTGCTGGTGGTCTACAGCAGCAGGGTAGTGCATTTAGGGCATGGGCTGTGGAAGTGGCCCCTGCCCATCACAGGGAGCGCCTCCCTCAGAAGCTGCTTAGTAAGTTTCTGGCCCAAATCGGTCAGTGTCCTGAGACAAACTGACTAGTGTTCCTAAGGTACAGAAGTAAGTATCCAGACTCGAGGAGTCTGAGGAACAGGCATTTCTGCATTCTCAAATGGCCAGGCCTCCCTCATGGCTCTTATTTGTACTAAGCCCCAAGACAGGTACTGCCAGATCCATCAAGGAGGGGCATGCAGAGGGGAGAGAACAGGGTCTGTGACCCCAGGCAAGACAGGATGGTGGGCAGCCAGACACAGAAACATGGAGACGTGCTTGGTGGCAGTCTGAAAGTATGGCTGTGAGGGCACTGGCAGAGGACACAAGAATGCCACACACACCCGCTTCCTGCTGACCTCTTCCTCCCGCTGCACTAGAGCACAGAGCAGTCTGCAGGTGTCAGTGCAGGAAGTGGGTTCCTCTAGCTACACGGATTTCACCTGCGGTTATAACTCTGTAGCTGATGCTGCTCCCTTGCACACAGCTCACAGTGACCCGTGGCCTTGCTTTTCAGCCTTCCTGTGCATCATGGGAAGACGGTGGCTGCTGTAAGCCATGTGGCTTTCCACATTAGTATCATTTTAGGAGAGCCTCTTAGTCTAAGCACTTGTACCTGACTGTGTAAGAGAGAGAAGAGGGGACTAGCTCCCAGAGAAGACAGTCTGGGTAACGGAGCAGACCAAAGAGCAAACTGGAGAGCTCCTCACTCTTCAGCAAAACCCCAGATGGATCTGAACCCGGGCTGGAACTGCTGCTCAGAGTCGTCTCCCATTGGATATGTCCTGCTCCTTGGACAAAGAGCGGGATCTGCTTCCCTTCCTGTGGAGCTGAACTACCCTGTGGCACTAGTGTGGGGCTAATCCCCTGAGGAGACTGGCAGCTTCTCCTGACTGCCATCGAGTCATAAGAGGTTGCACTGAGGCCGGAAGAGGCAGCTCATGTCTGTAATTCCAACACTGGGGAGGTGGAGGCAGGAGTATTAGTGTCAGTTCAAGGTCAGCCAGGCAACAAAAAATAAAATAAAATACAAAAGTAAATCAGAAGGCTCTAAGCATGACCAGAGAGGCCCTGTGGACGGCGATGCACAGCAGTGAGAAGCCACCCGGGATGTCAGCACGGGCAGCATGGCAGTTCTGCTGAGACCAGGTCAAGGACAGAACCGGGAGGAGTAACAGGCGGTGATCTGAGGCATGGCACTGGGTGGGACAGCAAGAGAAGGCCTGGATGCTCTGCTGGCCTGGCTAGTCTCCAGGGAACCGCTTGCTAAAACCAGAGTTGGGGTCCCTGTTTGCTTACACTAACAAACCGACCCCCTGAGAAATCACGGGCAGGAATCTTAGCTTTCAGTTAGGTTGAACCAAATTGTTTAAAGCTGCATTTTCTTACAGGGTACAGGTACGGATTGAGAATCCCTTACCCGGAATGCTCCGGACCAGCAGTCTGCAATGTCAGGGGTCATTCAGAGTCACATCTGCATATGTATGAGATATGTCTTGGGATATGACTCAAGCTGAAACCAAAAATTCAATTACTCTATTCAATTACTCTTTACACAGATTTGGAGGGTAATGCTATGTAATATTTTTAGGTTGGAGACAGGCTCTCTTTATGCTGTCCAAGCTGGTTCAAATGATCCTTCTGCCTCAACCTCCTGAGCAGCTGGGACTGCAGGCATGAGCTACCATACCTTGTCATTCCTGCATTTTAACTATGACCAGTCACACGAGTCATGCATGTAATTTTCCACTGTGGCATCACGTTAGTGCTCAAAATATTCATATTTTTTCTTTTTCTTTTCTTTTCTTTCTTTTTTTTTTTTTTTGAGATGGCTCAGCTGTTGAAGGCAAGGCTCACAACTAAAAATATTCAAACTTTTAAGTGTGTGGATTTCTGGGTCAGGATATTGAACGTGCACAGTCCTGTGCTTCCATGATCTGGGAGACTGACTTCCTTTCTGATTCTCTCCACATGAAATGATGACAAAAGATCCAAGCCAATTAGGGATTCTAAGTAATAGGCTTGCTTTTGAACACACACATAAAGACAAGTACAGAAAAGAACAGAAGTACAGAAGTGAACTATGTGATGTACTCTGAATAAACATCTGAGTGCCCCATGATCAAGGTAAGCTCTCCACAGTAGGAGGCATCTCCACTTCCGCACTGCAGGTGTTCAACAGATTTGGGGTTCTGCTGTCTGATCAAAACCACTAGTCCTGGGGAAACAAAACACTACAGCCAAGCCAATTTCAGAGCTAAGAGACTGGAACTGAAGTTGTACCCACTCTGTGCAGAGAGTGACATCAGCTAAGTAATGTTCTCATGATGAGCGCAGCTCCAAGAAGTGGACAGCAGAGGCTGAACATACAGGGGCTGACATCACTCCCCGACTGCAGTCAGCAAGTCAGGGCTGGGCCAGGCTCCACTGCAGAGACATTGTATAGTATGAGGGACCTGGATGGGGCTCCAAGGGAAGCCACACAGCCAGTGAGGGCTCCAATATCACACTGTGCCATCGGGCAAAGGATTCAACTGCAAGGACACACCGGGCCAAGGAGGACCAGGAGGGCCACAAAGGCTGCTCAGTCTCACTGTCTCAGCTCCCTTTTCCTGACCACTTTCAGTCACTGTGGGGAAGGAAGGACCAGGTAGGCATAAGCAGACCCTGGCCCCAGAGCTAGACTGTGTGAAACATTTACTTTATATCAGATGGATATCACACTGTTGCCATCACTGCTAAGATTTGTTATTTTTAGGCTTCCCTGGAATCAGATACCTGAGAGTAGGAAGCCAACCCAAGAAGCCAACAATTACAAGATAACCTTACTAAGCTTCCAGGTCCTAGTAAGAAAGAGCTACACAGACTAGGCTGGGCACAGTGACACACACCCTTCATTCCAGCGGAAGCAGGTTATAGGCTAGCCAGGGCTACAGAGTGGGAACGTCCCATAAAAGAGCTACACAGACTCTTCCACCAGCACCCACTCTGTATCACTGTGTGCTGCACACAAAGCTGGTGCCACTGAGGCCGCTCCTGGGGAGGAGCCATGTCAGCTCAGGTTGATTTCCTGGGGAAGCAGGTTTAAGGGCTCAAATCAAGGCAGGGCAGGCAGCAGCCATGGTATGAACCATCAGGACCTCTATGCAGATGAGGCTGGCCTGAGCTACGGTAATCTTTCTGCCTCAGTCTCCCAAACCCTGGGATTACAGGCATGTACCTTCATGCTCACCTGGGATGCTAAACGGTAAGAATCATGAGGCATGGTCACAGATGAGACAAGGGTGGGGGTGAGACATCAGGGGTCACAGCCATCAACATACTTGAAGGGTCTGGTATGTCCTTTCTGAGATGGAGGCTGACAGGACAGCCTTGGGTACATAGGAAAGCTGTTCTGCTCTGTCTGCTGCCAGGGCTCTCCTCTCTCTGCTTGCTGGCCCTCAAACTGTTCACTTAATTCACAAATATTCCCTGGCAAAGGCTGACCACTTCCTTCCTGTCTTCCTGTGACTGAGCAGGAATAACAAGGTAACAAGCAGGTGAAGAGGACAGAGTCAACTCAGCCAAACTCAGGGCAACTGGACAATTCTATAGGAACTGAAGCAAGGGCAGTGGTGCGTGTGGTAAGGCACTGGGGAGGAGAACAAGAGTGGACAAAAGGAAGTGAGCAGTCAAAACGGCACAGGGAACTTACCTATAAAATATATTATTTATCTGTTTCCTGATGTAAGCACGCAGACCTAGGAACTTCCCATAGATTCTGTGAAGGGTAGTTTTTAGAAAATCTCTTTCCCGAGGATCCTCGCTGTCAAAGAGCTCTAGAAGCTTTAAGAAAAACACAGCACTTAGTGACAGTGACCATCCTGTACTCAAGGCTGCTGAGGAACACCTAGCTGGAAACTTACCTGTAATACAAACTTCTGATCAATATATTTCTTTGCTATATTGGGCTGGAAATCTGGAGACTCTAAAAATCTTAAGAAAAATTCATAAACAAGCTAGGAGGAAAAAAAAAACAATGAGTCAAATTACATAGTACTTCATTAGGTTGATTAAGAACACGTCACAGTCTTTATTTGCTTGAAAATAAAGACTTAGGGAACACACATGCATTCAAAATTAATGCTGAAGTGTGTGGCTTAGCATAATTATAACTGCAGATGGAATTCTTTTATTTATCGAGAACCACAGACGTTCACTTAAACGGTGCATAGTGCTTTTTTTCTAGGGCGCTCAGCTGCTACACCAGGGACCATGACCAAGCTTGGGGGTGGGGTCTGCAGTTTACCATCTACATGTGTCACAGAGTTCTAAGTGGACAACAACTACAGGGTGGCCTGGGAGAGGAACACGGAAACACAGCCATTGTGGTTCCCTTTGTAAATAAACATAGCACAGTTGGTTGGACAGCATGGATGGTCTGTTATAAGCCGTGTGGGAGCCAGTTGCCTTGAGGGCGGAACATCTGGCTCCTCCCTTCTAAGGACATAGGTAAATGCCCTGCTTGTGCTGGCCACATAACCAGTCAACCTTGCACCGTACAGGCATACTGGCAAGTGTCACCTGTCAGCAAGGAGGCCGGATACACAGGGCATAAGTTAAACCCACGCCCTGAAAACTGCAAGTACACCCGGGAAATGCTCTAAACCTGTGCTGGCTGGTTTTATGTCAGCTTGACACAAGCCAAAGTCATCTAAGAGGAGGGAACCTCGATTGAGAACATGTCTTCTCAAGCCTGTAGAGCATTTTCCTAATTAGTGATTGATGAGGATGAGCGCAGCCCATTGTGGGCGGGGCCACCTCTGGGCTGGTGTCCTGGGTTCTATAAGAAAGCAGGCTGAGCAAGCCATGAGGAGCAAGCGCCCCTCCATGGCTTCTGCATCGGCTTCTGCCTCCAGGTTCCTACACTGTCTTGGGTTCCTATCCTGATGTGCTTTGATGATGAATAGTGACGTAGAAGCCTAAGCCAAGTGAACCCTTTCCTCCCCAAGTTGCTTTGGTCATGATGTTTCATCCCAGCAACAGCAATCCTAACTGGGACAAAACCCAAACTCAGTGTTATTAGTGAAGCTAGTTCCGTCACTGAGAACAGAGAAATAGGCCTACAAGTCGGTATCCTATGTAATGGGTTTGCATAAGTTCAGTCAATCAACCAACCAACCAACCAACCAATCTCTTCCTCTTCTCCCCGCTCTCTGCTCTGGTAAAAAGAGATCTGTTTAGATCAGAAGCCCATTGGTCAACAGCTACAGAGAGGCCCTGGGCCACCACCCACATGGCATACACCATCTTATCCCGTGCCAAGCCCAGTACCTGCAGATGAGGCCAGGCTGCTTCTAACGTTGGTTCATCTTCTTCTGGGTCAAATTCTGCTCCCGTGGGATTGGAGGAGGGTGGCAAGGTTCGAAACATGTTAACTGCAAACTAAAACCCACAGATTCCATGATCACAACCAGGATACTTATGTATTACCAAGAACATTCCAGAAACACTAAATAATCCTAGTGATGGATGCTTCCCATTCTAAACCGTTCTTTTTTCTCAAAATTCAGAGGAGGTGTGGGTCTCCAGAGGAGACAGGGTCAACCCTGCAGCTTGAAACAGACCCTTCTGGGCATGGGACCACCAGACTGACTGCTACAGTCACCTGTCAAAGACAGCTGACCCCAGTAGATGCTAAGAGGTTAGCAGTGACTTAAGAGACTGTGACATCCAGTGAGTGGCAAGCAAAAAAGCTAGAAAGGAGAAGATGACAAAGACCACAGAAAAGAAACAAGAACACCAAGAAAACAGCAAAGGCTACATTGCACAGGGCTGGGCCCGTGACAACCATGGGAACATACGACACACGAGCAACTTCTGGGGAAGGTGGAGATCACTTCTGAGATAGGACTGAGACAGTGTGTCTGGGGGTGGCTGAGCAGAGCCCTTGGTCTGTCTCGACCTCCAGGGAACACTTTATTGGCCAATGACAGAAACAGCCAAGTTTAGTTTTTCTAAGTAAGTCATTGACTTGCAAGGGTGTGTTTGCTTGTTTTTTTTGTTTTGTATTAAGTTTAAATAGGACCTATTATCTTGTAACAACTATGAACCCACCAAGTGCCAGTCACAGTTCTGGTATCTGGAAACTGGCTTATAGGTGATCAGAAAGTCCTTGCCCCATCGGGAGGCAGAGGCAGGCAGATCTCTGTGAGTTCAGGGCCAGCCTGGTCTAGAAAGCAGTTCCAGGACAGCTGGAGTTGTTAACACAGAGAAACCCTGTCTGGGGGTGGGGGACGTCCTTGCCCCACATTGTCAAATCCAAACCCAAATCTCTGACATAAAGGCAAAGGCCAGCTCTGGGGAAATCCCGGGGAGGTCGGCAGTTCAGAGGCCTGGTCTAGCCAAGTAAACGAATGCTTGATCCTTCCCTGTTCTTCCTTCTTTTTAAAGGTTTGTTTTCATCGTATGTGTCTGGTGTTTTGCCTACATGCCTGTTATATGTACTGGGTGCCCTAGAACTGAAGTTATAGATGGCTGCAAGCCATTATGTGGGTGCTGGGAACTCATCTTCTGCAAGAACAGCCAGTGCATTTAACAACTAAGCTACTCTCAGCTCTGCTCTTTGTTTTCTTTATCCACTCTGTATTCTGGGTTGGACTGGAACTCAAGATGTAGCCCAGGATAGCTCCAAGATTGAAATCCTTCTGGCTTGGCTTCCTGAGAGTCAGGGTTATAGGAATATGTCACCACCACCAGCTACTTCTTTCTTTACTGTCACTAATACCCGGCTTGCAACGTGGACATTTCTTCTGATGTCACCAGCAATAAAAGCTGGTGTAGGAGTGTAGTTTCTATGTAGTTTCTATGAAGGTAAGGAGGCAGTGAAGGAATGCAAGGAAGAAAACAAGGCTGGAATCCAGAAACAATGTGAACCGTGAGAGGAAGAAAGGTCTAGATGCTGAACTCCAGTGCCCACATGGAGTATGAGTGTCGACTTCTGGCTTCTGGAGGGTGGAGTCCTCTATGATCCAGGAAATGTGCACAGGGCCCTATGATACCTCCAAACAATGGATGATATACGCAAGAGGCCATTTCTCAGAAGATGGGGGATCGGGACAGGGAGGGCTTCCTGAGGTAACACACTTCTGAAGCTCAAGGGTGGGATAAGAAGATGGGATGAGCCCAGTCACACACAGCCTCCCAGGGCCTACCCAACAGTGACAGGACTGACCCTGCCATCACCAGTTGACTCCCCGGGCTCCCTGTACCTTTCCAGGCTGTTAATGTATTAGGAGAAGAAAATTAGAATTGAGTCCTTTGCCTAGAATGACTGTCCCCTTTCTCCTCAGATGGAGAGGAGCTAAGGGGCCTTCAAAAATGGGAGACTGGCACTTTGCTCTCTGGTAGGTATATAAGCTGCAGGCTCAGGCAGGAACCAACTCAGGAGCAGAGTAGGGTATGTGCCAGCATATGCAGAGCCAACTGGGGATTCAGAAGAGGACCTTGGTGATGCTCAACACTGTCCCAGGTATGGACACAGCACATAGGAAGGAACAAGACACTGGTGGAGGCTACAGGCAGTGATGGGGCTCAGAGAGAGTGACAAGGGGCCCCATGGTAAGTCATTCACAGGTTATCCCCAGGAGATCACATCCTATAACCAAAGGTGACACAGTTATGTAACCTGCTCCAGGAGTATTTAGGAGTAGAACTGTGTGAAGTCACAGATCACAATGAAAGGCAACAGCTTCTGTCATTGGGCTCTGTCATCCAAGGAGTTCTTGCGTAAGAAAACCTGGCACCTGGAGCTCCTAGTCACCTTCTTACTGCACCATGATACACCAACAATGCTCTTCCTCAGAAAAGGTCAGTGAGACTCTAATGCTCAGTGGGGTCAGGAACAGAGGTAAACAAACACAGAATGTGATACCCCAGTTTATACTTGGGTTTCTAATCTGGTAGCATTTTTTAATATAAAAACTTCAGGCGCTGGATTTGAGAAAGGACACAGGTTGAGAAGAGCAGAGTTGCTGATGTCGCCTCCATGCTCCTGGGACCAGTGGTGTTCCGAGCAATGGTGCCAGGGCAGACAGGCTCAGCAACATCATTCTTGACAGGGATGGAGGGTCAGGAGCCTGAGGTATTGTGTAGAGCCAATACCTGCCAACTTGTCATGACCTTGTAAACGGAATGTGTGTGTGTGTGTGTGTGTGTGTGTGTGTGTGTGTGTGTGTGTGTGTGTGTGTGTGTGTGTGTGTGTGTTTTGTTTTTTGAGACAGGGTTTCTCTGCGTAACAGCCCCTGGCTGTCCTGGAACTCACTCTGTAGACCAGGCTGGTCTGGAACTCAGAGATCTGCCTGCCTCTGCCTCCCGAGTGCTGGGATTAAAGGTGTGCGCTGCCACCACTGCCCAGCTAAAAGAATATTCTGACAGTTCAACAACCCTATGCAGCCCTCTATATCTATATTAGTCACTACCAGTCGGAAGATTAATGAACATTTAGCTGTGATATGAAGGGACCGTCCCAACAGAACAATGACTTTCATTCTAGAGACACCAGGAAATATAGTTTTCATTTCTCAGCTCTTTGGTTTCTGTTTATAACCAGCAAGAGCTCCTGGTCCCTCAGTCTTAGTGAACATGATTTCTATTGGGAAAGCCAAAAACCAAAAGATGGCTACTTCCAAACTCTCTTCCTCCCATAGACAGCAATGGAATACTAGGTTCTAAAAGCCACGCTTCAAAGGGACACATTTCTGAGAAGTTTGTTAAGCTGTCATTTGTTTGTATTCAACATAGCTGTAAAACAGAGGCCCAGACTGACATCACAGCTGGGCCACAAGGACACAAAAGCCAAAATAAAAAACTAAGAGCAGCCAACAACTGAATAGATGGAAAGATGTTATACACACAGACATGAGGACACACAGCACTGAGTTACTGCTCTGGCGCCTTCATAGAGAAAGCACAGAAAATGCAGTGTGGTGTGGAACCTTCCTCACCCGAGGCAACCATGTCCTCCTACAGGGGGAACCTGTAATGGAGTAATTTACAATCTCTGCTGTGTGACATCAGGTGTGTTCTCAGTCACTCTCCACCTTCTTTTTTGAGACCGTCTCTCACTGAGCCTGGAGCTCTTAGCCTGGTATATACTGGCTGGTCAGTGAGCTCCCAGGATCCATCTACTTCCCAGTATGGGGATTATGGGTGCACAATGTTGCCAGGGATCAGAACCCAGCCCACCCCCAGAACATCAGCAAGAGTCATAAATTCAGGGCCATTCTTGGCTATGGAGTTAGCCTGTGCTACAGGAGATCCTATTTCAAACAAACCAAAACAGAAAGCCAAAGCAAGTGTGTGCTGAGTGTGTACCTGCTTGGCAGAGGACATCTATCAACACACGGGCCCTGGATTCCATCCCCGGCACCACAAGAAAGCAGAGCATAACGACAGTGGATCAAGAAACAACCACATCTTAAGTTATTTACCATGGGCCAAAAGTTAGTTCTAAGCAATACTCCCGAATGCTCTATGCTCACAAATTTCAACACACACACACACACACACACAAAGCTGAAAGTGTGGTCTACTGAGTGGCCACACCTAGATTCTACCGTCGTCATTCTAACACCTTTGCTTTGTCTAACAGACTGATGTTGGGATAAATCTGAGGGAGCTCAGGAAGGCTTCAGGAATGTTCGATCAGTGCATTCTACCTCCCACACAATGTCAGACACTTCCACTCCCCAGTCACTGCCACGACACCCCCTATATACAAGGTGATGCAGAGGCACAGAACTGTCACTTTATGTAACCGCCTTTAGTCCTACATCCTTGTGCTCACCACCGGGTCTGCTGGGGGATATTAACTAAGTGTCATAAGGGTTAGGGTTTACTCTGCTGTCCCAAAGACCAAAAATACTGGGTAAAAATATATGAAAGTACATTCTTCTGCTCTCAGGAGATGGGGGCAGATGAGGAGAGCCCTGTAATGGCCACCAGGCCACTGCCAGGCTGCAGAGTACAGAAAACCCAGCTGGAGCTCAGCAGTCAGGCAGCGGAGGTCAGAGGAGGGAGCTGCCCAGAGATTTGCAACTAGAAAAGGTTCTGTCATCGATTAGCACAACACCATGAGACAATCTGATGTGAGGAAACTATCAGAGGCCATGGAAGACACAAGAGAATTACAGAGGGCCCAGAACAGTTGGCCCTTTCCTGATGGGTGCCATGTCCTTGGATTCAGCCAACCAAGGCTCAAAAATATTTGGCAATAAAACACTGCATATCTGTTGAACATGTAGGCTTCTTCTTATAGTCACCACCTAAACCATACAGTGTAACAACTCATCACACAGCATTTGCACTGTACTAGGTGTTAAGTATTTGCAGATGATTTAAAGCAGGAGGTAACTCAACGTGGACAGGAAGACAGTTATGCAGAC